TGGGCGGTAAAAAAAGGCCCAAAAAAAAAAAAAAAAAAAAAAAAAAAAAAAAAAAGGAAAACAAAATGACATCTCTAAGTACTGCAGAGAAGGGGTTTATTATGAAACCTAAACATGGGATACTGTACTTTCCCCTTCCCTCACCTCCTGTAACATACTTTTGTAAAACTTTTTGTCTGACCACTAGGGGAGCCATTCCATTACAAATCTCCTATGGTTAGACTATTCAGCATGGCAGCTTCAGATCTCTCTATTAAGATTATAATAAGAAATGAGGATCTGCAGTGGATGGAGTGCAGGCAAGCATGCAGTAGGATGTATTAAAATAAAAGTAAGTAACACTGGGGCCCTTTTCAGCTTGTTAGGTAGTAATTAATATATTTTCGATTTCGGTGTCTGCAGTCACAATAACTAGAAGCGAAAGCCTCTGAATGTCAGCACAGGCAGGCCAGGCGCTTTCTCGTCACCAGACAAAGCAGAAGTAGCACTGTCCCCTAATCTCACTGTAGGTCAGAAGAGACAGTACAGGAAACCCTCATGGTGGAGCAGACAGCAAAACCAATGCTCCTCCCATGTACACTTGCATGCTGTAACAATGCCAAGTGATATGAAGCATTAATCACATGCCCTCAAAAAACAGGGACCATCTTTAGCTGAACGTAATTAGTTTAAATATTGCTGACATATTACATACAGAGAACACTGCCATTTACAATCTTCCCCTTTGACTGTAATGTAATGATGTGTGAGTGCTGCACCGCTTAGCAGTACTAGGAGTTCATAGATAGAGCTCCCTCAAGGGGTGTGTCCCCGACAGCCTGGGCCTACAGGAAGTGGGTCATACAAGGCTGGGCGTCATTCAACTTGGAAGAGGATTAGCGGACAGGTCCAGGAGCTGCAAGTGTATAGGGGCAGTGCTGGAGAGGACGTAAGAACCGCAGCAAAAACTACAATTCATCCATTGCTGGGCGATAGATTCTAAAAATTATAATTATAGAGTTCCGCTTTAAATGGCTCTGACAAATTCCGCAGTTGTGTACAGAAAGCACTGAACCAATCACATCAGCTCTTTCAGGCCCACATATCACTAATAATTACAGCCTGCCCTTTAGGAAAAGGGCCAACTACCACAAGATGTGTTAATGACGCGCATACACAGAGATTCAGCATATTCTAGGCCTCCTAATAAATAATCTGATTGAGAAACTGCCTCTGTAGCCCAAAACAGCATTCTCCCGCTCATGTTTCTACTACAAAGTTATAGAATGAAGTTGGGTGACGGCCGCTTCCTATAAGTATAAGCCCAAGAAATTATTTTGTGTATCAGCCCCACTGTGTGACCAATGCATTAGATGTGAAGCAAAGCACTTCATTCACAATGAGGAATCTTCCAAAGCTTTCCAAGTTATGTCCTGGCTCTACAGCCTCATACTCTAGCCAATATTCTTCTGTCAAAGTTACTAGTATTTGGTATGTGTGATCAACAAGTAGAGCTACCTTACAGCAGCCAATTCAGTATTAGCAGTGTTTAATATTACATAGCGCCAACATAACATAGCGCCAACATAAGCCATAGCACTTTAAACAAGCAAACAAAGCTCCACAAATCAGAAATATCACTCTCTGCACCAATGCCCAGGGCCAGATTTCCCACAAGGCCCGGCCTCGGGGCAGCAGGGAGTAGAGGGGCAGCAGGGGTGTGGAAATCCTATATCCTGACGCCTGGGACATGCAGTTCTGTAGTTTTGTATAAATGATCTCGGCGGCATCCTGCAGGTCTGTCCCGCCCGCTGGCTACCTCTCTCTCCCTGCTGGCCGCCTCTCTCCGGAGATGGAGATCCTCTCCTCAGGATGGAGAGCGGGGAACGTACGGTGCAAGAACTCCTGTATTAGAGGTTACAGGTTCAATAAAGAGAACCTGTCACCCCCAAATGCTATCACACATGGGCTTGTTAGCTTCTGTGTGATAGCAATAAATTGGGGGGAAAATTGATAATAAAATAAAAATTTAAAAATATAAGTAAAAAAAATTTAAAGTAATGAATACATTTAAATAAAAAAAAAGTCAAAATATAATAGAAAAATTCTAAAGATTAGAATAACATTTTTAAAAAATAAATATTAACGCCGCCCCCAGCATCCGGTTGCCATTCTCTATAAAAGGGGGTTTGGCGCATTGAGGTACCTGGCCTTGGGGCAGCAGAGAGAGTAAATCCGTCCCTGCCAAAATCATCAAATGTAAATTAGATTCTAGCCCGTTATTAAAAGTTGGTCCAAGGATTACTAAATGCTAACCTGCAGTATGGAGAAACGTTATACAACATCACACCAGAGGCCTGCAATCCCAAGGAAACTAGGAGTTAACCCAGAACGTGGGTGAGACAGGGCAAGTGGTTGTAAACCTCGGCATCACGCCAAGTTCGAATACTACGGTAGATATAGATAAAGACTCAAGAGTGGCTTTTATTGTTGACACAACTAATAAAAGACATGCAGAACAAGTCAATATTTTAAGGTTTTAAGTCAACAAAAGAAGGACATTGTGAGGGATACCTGCACCTGCTCACAAAAGGGGATGCGACACTTCTTCCTTTTTTAGAACTACAAGTCCATGCATGCTCTGGTAGAACTTGGCAGGCATGCAAGCACACATGGTTCTCCAGTAGATTGCTTATAAAGAATATGCATAGACCTATTTAAAAGATAATTTGTGTACAAGATTTTATTTTGAAGAGTGTAATAAGCTCCAGCTACTTAAATGATGGCTACAGGGCTTGATGGGGCTTTTTGTTCCTCAGAAGATATAAACTGCTATAAAAGCTTAAAGATTAAATATGGGCCACAAAAAGGACACATCCAATAGGTCCGGTTCCAGATGTAAAAGACACATGACTTATGGATTTTACACTTTCTTTATCATAGCCAATGAACATGTGTTCCTTGGCACCTAAAACAATCTCATCCCCAGGCTGGACTGGCTTCTAATAACTGGCATTTCCGTTATTGGGGAGGTGAGAGATTAGGGGCCTGGATCATCACCATACGGAGTTTTGTAGGGCCTCTAGCAGCTGTACCATCTACAATACAAAGTCATAGATCTTCTGCTGCCTCCTCCATAACACAAGTCACATGAACAATTCACCAGTCCTCGGCTGAGCTAGGTGCATGGGAGATGGTCAGGTGCATCTTACAGCACAAATGCCCATGAGATAAAATACAAAAAAGGTACTTCAACCAGCTTTCAAAATTCAGTTTCATTTGGGTGCTAATTTAACAAGCTTACAGTTACTGTGTAAAGCCATTAAAGTCCATAAGCCCCAACAGGTCCCAGAATTCAAATAGAGAATACTCCAATTAAATACTGTGATAGGAATTTATCAAAACTGGTGCAGACAAAATCTGGAGTAGCTGCCCAGGGCAACCAATCAGCTTCTATCTTCAGTTTGTTCTGTTACGCTTTGAATATGAAAGAGAGAAGCCAATTGGTCGCCATGCACAACTGCTTTAGTTTTTGTCTGCTCCAGTTTCAATAAATTCCCCTTTATCACTTGTGGTTCTCCAAAACAGCCTGCTATAACATGCCAACGATTACCCATCAATCACTTGGAAGGGCCTTATCCATGCTGGGCTCCTGGACATCTCTGTAACACCTCTGCACAGGCAGAAATACAATGAAAGCAGCACACAGTGCAACCACAAGTCACCTTACCAGCATTGTACTTTCCACAGCATATCAACCAATCAGTCCTAAATGCCAGAACACTTCTGACATGAGACACAGGAGAGCAAACCGGAGCCAGACATGAAGTTTTCCAACCTCCCTAAAAAGTTTCATATAAACCAAGGAGGGAAAAACTGTGTCAAGCCTTCAGTATACAGGGGGCCGCTTGCAGCTACTTAGGTCCTCAGACCAGCAGCCATCCTTGTAGCATTGCAGTGAGTAGTAGATACATGGAAACAGATCCCTGCAAAAGGCAAAATGATAGTGGGGCATTCTACATTCCATGGGGGGCAGCCTGCGCCGACCACTTGCTCCATGGGGGCAGCCGGCGCAGACCACTTGCTCCATGGGGGCAGCCTGCGCAGACCACTTGCTCCATGGGGGCAGCCTGCAAGATTGATCTGCACCCAGTACCATGTCATGAACAGTGCAGTGTATTTTGACACTTTCTATATAAAATGTAACAATAAGAGCCATTTGTTTACAAATAAAGTTCTGTAAACTTGCTCATTGTCAGCTCTGTTCCTCCAGCCCCCAGAAACTTTCTAAACAGTTACAATCTCCGCACAACGGATACCCAGCCACAATGCAGCCATGCTCCCGCACAGCCGATCGCTAGCTCTTGGGTTCAGGCTGCACATGGGGTTCCGGGGCTGTGATAGAAGTGATGAGACATTATGAACTCCCCCTTAGCCATACCTTGTGCGCGGACAATCAATGACAGCAGCAGCAGTGATAGCACAAGGTGACCCATTCCTCGTCCTGGCTGCATTAGAGTAACATAGGTCCACAGGGTGTCCGGAAGGGTCCCCGATCCCCCACAATCCACAGATAATCCAGCCCAGGCTCACAGTCTTCTCGTCGGCAGATCACACACTTGTTCCAATGTATCCAGCCAGAGTCCAGCACGAATCCCTCCGCCCCGCTCACTCCAGCGCTCTGCGGGTGAATGCCTAACCAAGGCAGCTGTGCGGGGCAGGCTGTGTGTGTGCTGCGTCCCGTCTGCTTCCGCCGGCAGGGGAGGAGGGACTCCTTCCTCTGAAAGTTCAGACAAACTTTTGGTGCGGTGTGTGCAGGCGGAGGGATCCGGGTAGCTCATTAGCATGTCAATGGGAGTGTGGAGGGCAGTCGTCAGGCAGCTGCTTGTGGGCATCTTGGTGGCTTTTGTCTTACAGGAGAGGGGGGAAGGGGTCTTTGGATAAAGAGTGAAGGCTGCTGCACAGCTCCTGGGGGCACAGGGGTGGGCTGAGGACATCTGACCTCCTCAGATGATGTCCTATGCTATCTCTGCTCGGTGGAAGGCTTCTTCACTCCATTGCACAGAGAAAGGACAATCTTCTGCATTTTGTTGAGCAATCTGATGAGAGTCTCATGCATTTTTGTATTGACACTTTCTTCAAAACTTGTGTTCTATACTGCTCTGCATACCCTCTTGCACCCCCATCTTGTCTTGTGATTGTAATGTCTTCCTTATATTGTAAAGCCCTGCGCAAATTGTTGGCACTATATAAATCCTGTATAATAATAAAGCTGGCCGTACGCCAATAGAATTTTGTTAGATAAAATTTGCGTACGGAGCGTGCGTTCGATTTTCTAATAGTTAATGGGGTCAAATTGACGATCACTGTAGAGTGTAGTGACAGCGAGATTGAAGGAGTGGAATGTGATTTTCGTTTTCATTCTGTAAACTCAATTTTTTCCAAAAATCAAACGTTAAAACCAAATGCAATTTTAAACCACATTCGTCAAGTTTCTGCTGGCATCATCGAATGTGCTGACAAGATTTTTCCACATGAGCGTTTGGACGAAAGCTTTAGTGCAAAATGCAAAGATTCGTACATAGCGGCATTGATAGCGCTCAGACGTTTCCTTTACAGAAATTAGTCACACTGAAACGCGTACATTCACACCTTTGTGTTTCTGTTTCATGTGTTTTCCATTGAAATCAACGCTTGTGTTAAGATTCGTCATAAAACATAAACGTATCATGACATGCGTTGACATACGTTTCTAAACGTGTGACTCCAGCCTGAGGGATGTGATATTTCACATGTGCATCTCATCTTCATGCCGCGTGAAATAATATCATTAAGGGCCAATTCACACCAGCTGCTGCGCTAAATGCACATTGGCTGGTGTGCTTTGCCCGACACCGGGCTCATCCTGCAGCATCGCACTGTGTACTTTTTTTTTTTTTAGTAGAACTTTATTGAAATATCATCATATTGACATTTCATTCAGTTCAAAGGGCACAGTGGGGTGCAAGGTGGTTTTCTGCCTCGCATCACGCTGCACTGAAAAAAAGTAGAGCATGCTGTACTTTTTTTCAGGGCACACCACTGCGTTCCCTTTGCAACCTGATGGCATGAAACGAGCCCGTCTGTGACAAGGCAGATTGCCTTGTGTTGGGGCAACCCTGAATACAACAGCCAGTACAGTCCTAATGTATCTGGTGTAAATGGGCAGAAAACACAGGAAATGTGTGTAAAAATGCCATGTAACAGTGTTCAGGCTTTGACCATGACAAGCTTATGTATACAATGTCATATACTGTACGCCTGCTAGGGATGGAAGTTACAGTGATGAAACCACCATATGCTGCCATATATGCTACGGCAGCATAGCGTACTGTTTTTTTGGAGTTGCAGTTTTGCGTGGCACATGCACCGTTCATAATGTTGTGAGCATTCATAGTGCAAACTAGGAGCACACCCCGCACAACGGGGTTCATTCATAAAAGTTTGCATGGCACTTGAACTCTTAGATGGGACTGATGAGTATAGGAAAATCATCTAGGGCAGTTCGGCCACTGTCATGTGTTCAAGTTAATGAAACGGGTGACAGCAGCCGCATCTGTAGTCCGCACATAATTGTATGTCATATGATTACATGCAGTTTCAAATAGATCACTCTCCCTGGAAGCATCTTTTCTGCGTACAGGGACTGATCTATTGCAAATCACATTTAATCACATCACACATGATTAAATGTCGACTATCGCTTACTGATGCGGCCGGTGTCACCCGGTCATTAAAGGAGAACAATGGGGTTAGGGCTTTTCCCCATAGTTCTCCTAAGGGTAACGTGAGGACACAAACTAGCATCCTCTCGTTACCCAAAGCTCAGTATACCGCGAGCTGCAGCTCCCGGTATACTGAGACGCCGCAGCTGAAACAGATCCCGACAATTATGTCTGGATCCACCCAGCTGCGTGAGTGACAGCTGGTTCTGCCTATCTAGAGGCAGAGCCAGCTGTACCCGCCCCCTCCCCTGTCCGTTCCGCCAGTCAGCGCTGGAGGATCGGAGCGGGGAGGGGAGAATCCAGTCACTCCCCTGTCACGGCTCTCTGCAGTGACAGGATCGAGAAGTGAGCGAGCACCGGTATGTGTTCGCTCACTTCCTGATCTACTGAGCCGACCTGTGACAGTCTCATTGTCACAGGTCGGCTCAGATTATGAGGCTGAGTGAAAAGCACTCACCTCATAATTCTCCTTTAACTTGAATGGGTAACAGCGGCCGCATCTATACAGGAGATTTGGGATTCCTGTCACAGGAATTAGTAGATTATCCCTTATTTTGGAGAGATTTCTCACATCCTGTTGAGTCTGTAAACAGGAAATGAATGAAAATCTCCCCAATGGGACACAAACAACAAATAAAGTTTGGCTTTTTAAGTATAACTAAATACAATTTGGATGCAGTAAACTGTGCAAACCCTTTAATAATTTCCCCCAGAACACAGGTGATATGTTATCAGCACAGTTTAGTTTTATAATGACGGCTCTCATTTATAAGAGGTTTTTTTACATGTATTTGTAGTTTCATAATCTTTCACATACACGTCATAAATGGTACAACAAGATTATGCAATGGAATGAAAAATGTGACACATCGCTGTCGTTTTGTTGTATTACTCAGCAACAACAACACAAAATTCTAGGAAATGAAAATCTTCAGTTCTGATCCTCAGAGAGGACCTGGCAGGTTTGTCGGCTGATGCGTTGGCCACACACCACTAGAGTTTCATTCGTTTTTGGAACATTTGATTTTCTAATGGTTAGAGGGGTCGAATTTACGTTTGTTTTAAAAAAATAGAAGGAGCAGGGTGGAAAAAATTGTTGTTTCCATATGAAATAAAAGAAACCTGTTTAATACGTCTGGGATTCCTTTCCAAAAGCCAGTCTGGACCAAAAATTTAGGGGCTTTTGAATAAAAATAGCTAATTTGATGATGGCAACATTGAATGCTCTGATAAACGATTCGGAACAAACATCCAGACAAAATTTTAGCAGTGCATGTGAAGCTTTAGGTGCATGTTACTCATACAATTATATGGTAAAAATCTATACAAGAGGGCCTCCCAGGGAGGGTTAAGCTGACCACACATCTATAGATTATCTGCAGATTTTCTGTGGTCAGATGGAAAAAGTGCAACAGATTTCTCCAACTACTCTAAACTGTGCGCATGGTTTAATCTCCCACTAGGCCAAGCTTCGGTATCTTGCTAGTCGGCCCCGCTTGCTTTCAAAACACCCAAACAACTCCTGCATCCAATCTGATTGTTCAGGTATTTTGACAGCCAGTGGGGCCGACTAGCAAGATACTGAAGCTTGGCCCAGTGGGAGATTCCTCCAGACGCACAGTTTAGCGTACATGGAGGAATCCGTTGCACCTTTTCCATCTGACCATAGAAAATCTTCAGAAAATGTACAGGTGTATGGGCAGCATTAGGGAGGATGAAAAAATTCAGCCAGGTGTCTGTCAGGGAAAGCTAGCCATATGCCATACATGTAGGAATCCAATCAGTCAATCTCAATTCAATTTTCCATCAAAATAAAAAAAAAAGCACCAGTGAATATTCTTCTATCTTCCATCGAGTACTGGGCAATCAAGTTGAAGAAACCCAGATTAAACACTGCTTTCTATCAGACTGCTTGTTGGGTTTCCATCAATTTCCTTACATTGTAAAGCGCTGCGCAAACTGTTGGCGCTATATAAATCCTGTATAATAATATTAATGTTAGCATTTAGGTTTATTTGCTTGTATCGCTGGGGTCCTGAGCTGGAATCACACAAGAACCTTATCTGAATCAAATTTTTCCTTCTTGTGGTTGTGCGGGGGTTTCTCCAGTTCTCTTCCACTGCACCAAAACATGCTGGCTTCCACCTAAAACTGGGTTTAGTGGGTATGTTTGTCTGACCACACTGGGGATACTAGAGTGTTACACAGGGGTAGGCAACTTCGGCACCCTATCAGTTGTGGAACTGCAAGTCCCATGATGCATTGCAAGACTGACGGTGAAAGGTATGACTCCCACAGGCATTATAGGAGTAGTAGTTTCACCAACACTGGAGTGTCAAGGTTGCCTATCCCTTGTTGTAAGATTTATGTTATACGACTTTCCAGAGATCATATATAAGCTAAGCGTCAAAGCCAACCATCATTAGACTTCAGCACATTGTGCAATCGCTGCCGGGCGATGGGTTGGCGATCCATTCTGTGGACAACGCGTTTGAGTGGATGATGTTTTCCAGTAGTAGATGAGAAGATATTGCATGTAAATGCTTTATATGGGGGCTCTGTATTTTGCTCCATTTCACATATACAGAAGGCAGAGGGACATACAGCCCCCATGCTGTCGCCCTATGAATAGGAGGGCTGGGCGTACCATCTGGCACGCCATACACTCCATCCCATCCCCCCTGCACTGCCTTATGTCAGGTCACCGCTGTGGATCCTCATCAGCAATGAATGGGAAGGCACAATACTGCGCGAATGTACCTCCAGGACCATAACTTGATACCGCGGCCCCTGCCTGATGTCGGCCATACACATAGTGAGTTTTTAGTTCTCTAAAAGTTTTCTATCAGCTTTATTGCAAAAAGAAAAAGTCACATGGAACTGTCCACAGCAATCAGTTTTGATGGATGGATGTGGAAATCAATCAAAACCACCACAATGAAAGTTAAAAGAATTATTGATTAGTTTCCCCCTAATTTTCAGTAGTTCACACCAAGTACGTTCAATGCTGATCAACACAGGCTCAGCACAATTGTTTTCTATGGGCCCTGTTCACACCTACAAGTGCATTGGTGTATATTTGCATTCCCATGCGACACACAACACGTTACAATGCAACACAGCGCAATGCAACACAGCGCATAGCAACGTGCCGTTGTGCATAGAGTTGAATGAAGTGTCATTGCACTGTCCCTACAGACTGCACATCAGCCCCAGCGCGTAATATAGACTATAATGCGCAGCTTCCAGTGTAAACAGGCCCTCATTTGGTCTTTTAAACATAAGGAAAACTACAGCATTAGGCCAGCATTAAGAAATAACAAATCATCACATTTCCCTAAGAACTCATACACTGCATCACTCAGCATGGGCCGAAAGTATGACAAGCTAAAAATTCACTGTTTACAATAGGACTAGTTCACACCAGTGCACTACAGTGAAGATGTAACATGCTGCATTTAAACACAGCGCAGTGTGCTGCAATGGCGTTAAGGAAATACAAAAATAGTATTTTGGCTCCAGCTGTAAACAAAGAAACAAAAAACACATTAATGCAGTGAGTTAAAAAATACATGATAACGTGTGTGTGCAACAACGCACCCTGAATGGAACGCAGGTGGTGGGAATCCAATCAAAAAGAGCAATAGGGGGTGAGAAGTCTGTTTTCTCCTCTCCATACAAAAGAGGGCTGTCCATTTATTGTGCATAGATTTTCCTACATGCTGGAAATACCCGGCCTATGGTCAGCAGTTCTATCTCCCATATTGCTCCTGTATACTCCATCCTTGTCTGTTTCCTCTGTGGATGTTTAAAATATTTTACTATACATAGAGCAAATCTTTCTGCAAATCTTTTGCTTTGTCATTTTCTCCAGCGGTGTGTGGCAAATCTCAACATGGTGCGGGAAGATCTCTTTTGTGCATTCTTCTATTATTCCTTGGGAAAAGCTGATTACCTCTGACCTCTCCACAAGTCATAAAGCAACTATGAAGCTGCTTTAGAAGTAGTGCGCCTCACTGGTACCAAAGCAGTCTACTCTTTCTTGCAGGCTTTACATAAATAAAAAATTACATATACAGTATAACTAAGACTAAAAGTAGAACAAAATAGAACGCATTGGATGGTGCCGATAAAACACCCTTATATTAATAACAGTCAAAATACATTGCACTTACACAGTATTGACTGGATGGAGCATGTAGCCAGGTATAAAAACTCCTATGGATGTCAGGTCATCAAACAGATGCAGCACTTCTGGAAAAGCTGGCAAGAGAAGAGATAGCATGGAGCGATGAAGAAAGCTGTAGAATGACTCAGAGCCATGCCAGGGGGTTAAAGGATAATTAAAGCCTCAGCCTTTTTTGCATATATACTGCTAGCAAGCAGTAGCTATATGCAAAATGTGTAAAAACAAACAAACCGGAAAGCATCTTGGGGCGGGCGCATGTGCAGATCACATTTTCAGCCGGGAGACGAGGAGAGACACAAGGTAAGTCTATGGGCGCGTGCACCCGCATGCAGACACCGTGGGACAGGAAGTGCCAGCAAGGACAGAGGAGTCAGCGCTGGATCAGAGACCGGCACCAGTGCTGGAGGGACAGAAGAAAACGACAAGAAAGAAGAAGATCGGATTAAGAAACATCATTAAAGGTAAATGCTGACATTAACATTGGGGGGAGGGAAAAACATTTTTGCCTTTAGTGCCACTTTAATAACGGCTAAAAAGTTTGTCCAGAGTTGTGAGACTTCAAGGGGACCGAGACAGCAACCTGGACATACTTACAGCTTCAGAATAATTTTTTTTTTTTGCTTGGTTTTAGATGGAGTATAAACTTTTTTTGTTCTTTGTAATCTGAGTCCCACTGGGGAGAATTACCATAAGCAGAACAGAACATAAAACTTTTTTTTAAGTTTTGGATCGAGTAATGTAGGGTTATAACCCCTGTCAACTTTGTTTGCCATTTGTGTCCCATTGGGGAGATTTCCTTTCACTTTCTGTCTGCTAGACACAACAGGACATGAGAGGAAATCCTAGAGGGAAATCCCTGGTGGTCAGCAGGGTCAACAGAACTAGTGTCCTCATTGGAAAATGTCCAATCTATTCCTCTTCTGAATACAACCCAAACTCTGAGATCTTCTTTCACTTTTAGTGATAACAGTCACCAGGACAGATAGAGAGGGTGAATCTCGCTAACAGGGAAACAGCAATAAAAGCCTGATGGGTGTTCTAATCCCTCTCCACTCTATCCAAAGCTAAAAAAAAACGTTCCTCCTCACAGCCGCTGCTGAGACAGTGACAGCCAGCAGCTGTGGAGGAGGAGGCTGGGCCCCGCATTGGCAGCGGAGGAGGAGGCGGGGCCCAGCAACGGAGGAGGAGGCGGGGCCCACCAGCGACCATGGAGGAGGAGGAATCGGAGCCCGGTGGTGGAGGAGGCTGACAGTGGATCGAGGCTGACAGGTTAGAGGTGTGCAGGGGTGTGACCAGCCCACCTGAGACCCTGCAGAGCCCACCATAAAGCATCTATGATGGCCTCTGCAGGGTCACTCTCAGGTGGGCTGTTTGGGATCTTAGGTGGGCTCTGCAAGGGGCTTAACTAAAAATCACAGAGCCTCATGCTAAATTTTGCTATGGGGCCTTGTACTTTCTAGTTACGCCCGTCTCAGATGCTAGTGTCTTTGGTTCTATGCACTGCCTAAGCTGTACGTGAAACTGCACTACAGTGTTAAATGTGCTATTCAGTCTCTCCCTCCGGCGCTCTGACTGGGCTGGCCGCATCGCACAAGCAGCAGGGTGCACAGGTCCCACGACGTCACTTGTATCCGCCCCGTAGGCAGCTCCACGGCTGGTGCTATTCAAAGCAAGGTGGTCAGAAACCGCTCTAGAGAGGCATGCAGGGATTGCACACCACCAAGGTTCCTGTCTGTGCGTGCACCTCCAAGAGCACCTAACCAAACCATTGAAACCATCTTCTTCAAAAAACTGTTAAAATATGAAAAAAAAAAGTTTTGGCTTCCATTGCACTTTTACTTCTTCTTTCATAAATACAGCAGGTAGTAAGGAAAACATGTCTCCAAACGAAGGGAGATCCCCTCTTAGACAATCATCCACCGAGGTGTCCCCACTGGAAATTCCTCTTCTGTTCTTCTTCCAGTAACAACTCCAAATTGTGATTTCCCCTCAATTCCTGTGTCTGTGACAATGGTCACCAGGACACATAGAGAGGTTGAATCTCCCCAATGGGGCAAAGACAGCAATGAAAACCTGACAGAGGTTCTAACCGTTCCCTTCTCCTTGCAAAAAAAAAAAGGTTTGGGCTTTTTGGTATACTTTTATTCTTCAGTTAAAGACAACTGAAGAATGAAAAGATTAGTAACTTCACCAAGCCCAGTGTTCCTGTGCACTCTTCACTTATCCAATCATATGGACTTTATGTACCAGGATATGATTGGGTGATTGAAGTCAACACAGCTATAAGCGGGTAAGTGAACTTTACACTCCTTCACTCCTTTTCTACTCCCATCTGACCTCCATTGATCAAAGAAAGACATTATACAATCTCATTTGTTGTAACATTATCTGACCCTACAGTTCATGTCTACAGAATGGAGGAGGATGATTGATCAATTCACATACCTTCAAGGCCAGTAAAATCAATGAATCACACACAATAGGCCAAACTCCATTGCTGTCCACCTGGCCTGGAGTTGGCTTAGGAGGGGAGATAGATAGAGGAAGGAGCAGAGTTCTCCAGCAACTCTGTAATTCAGGAGAAGAGAGTTAAATAGAAGAAGGAGCAGAGTCCTTCAGCAGAGCAGAGTATTTCAGGAAAGGAGAGTTAGATAGAGGAAGGATCAGAGTCATCCAGCAGTGCAGAGTATTTCAGGAGAGGAGAGTTATTAGATAGAAGAAGGAGCAGAATCCTCCAGCAACACAGAGCATTTCAGGAAAGGAGAGTTATATAGAGCAGTGGTTCTCAACCTTTGTGACCTCAGGACCCACATTTGTCCTCAGTCATTAAGTCGTGACCCAAGTTGCACTGCAATGAAACGCACGTCATTGCGGTACTGTGTGTTCCGATGCGGGCAATAGAACTGTGGGTGGGAGGTGCATTTGGGGTGCCATTCAAATGAATGGCAATGCAATACACTTCTTACACCAAAATGCGTGGTAGCTGCGATTGCGAAGTACAGTGTGTTAATCGCGCGGGACTGTGCGATTAACACAGTGTACTAGTGTGAATGGGCCCTCAAAAACACACAACCACAGACATAATCTCACACACACATACACACTCCCAAAAAAATAATTTTTGTTCTTTTTTTAAGATTCACCCAGTCTCCCTACCTTATGAGAACTGGAGTGGATCCTTGGCCTGGGGTCCAGTGTGGGCTGCTGTGCTGTGATGTAGCTCCATCCATATGTGCATTGCTTGTACAGCTCCCTTGGATGCCCTGTAGAGGTGCCAAGAGCCAGTATGTTACATCACTCCAGGCTCCTCTACAGGACATGCGAGGGAGCTGTAAGCAATGCATGGATGGAGCCCACCCCACCTCAAGCTGACACTGAGTTCTAGGCAGCATATTTTGAATGGCTGCTTGGCGCAAGAACTGACACTGCTGCGCTACGGGAAGACTGAAGAGCCTCTCACATAGAAAAGTGGACGGCACATAGGGACCCACTTTTGGTTCTCGACACACCAGTTGAAAACCAAAGATATAGAGGAAGGATCAGAGTCATCCAGCAGTGCAGAGTATTTCAGGAAAGGAGCGTAATATAGAGGAAGGATCAGAGTCATCCAGCAGTGCAGAGTATTTCAGGAGAGGAGAGTTACATAGAGGAAGGAGCAGAGTCCTCCAGCAACACAGAGTATTTCAGGAGAGGAGAGTTAGATAGAGGAAGGCACAGAGTCCTCCAGCAGCACATAGTATTTCAGGAGAGGAGAGTTAGATAGAGGAAGGAGCAGAGTCCTCCAGCAACACAGAGTATTTCAGGAAAGGAGAGTTAGATAGAGGAATGAGCAGAGTCCTTCATCAGCACAGAGTGGTTCCCACTTAGAGTTTTGTCATTTTAGCAGTTTTCTTTAGATGTGTTTGATATAAAATCAATATAAAAGCTAAGAATAGTTGAATAAAACATACAAGAAAGCAGACATATGTTTCTGGACATTGCTTCCACTTTTCTTTAAATAAACACTCCAAAATGTATTTCTTTGACACAGTGCACAGATGTTGTCCGTGGTTGTATCCGGTGTCTTCCCATGGCTGGAGGACAGAACATCACTCTCTGATGAATCATTAGGAAATCACTTGATGAGTAATGGTACATGGCCCTAGATGAACAAACATACTTTTTCTTGTCAAAGTGGAACTTTTCTGATTTCAGGGAACAAGTAGGAGGTGAGGGGAAAATATTCCACACATTCTACAGACAGCAAAACAATCACAACAGACCTCTAACCCAATCGCAAGCGAAAACAAATTGAGACAATAAATATTTACAATGTTTTTCTCCTTCTAGCCTCTATCTGTGCCTTTAGGAGAAGTCGTTCTGTCCTCCAGAAATATTTGGCTTTATCCTGGTATTTTATACAAAGAGGTTTTCCTGGGGCAATGCAGATACATGCCTTGGAGTGTATAAATGTAGGTGGAAGACACAAGTAAAATGTATACAAAGATCAACCTACAACACAATTTACACTGTGCCACAAAACACTATCTTCCATTTACATAGTAAACCAATTGTAAATTGCAAGGCGGCAGCTAAGCAGACATCAGAATAGAAAGCCGTAAGGAATAACAGGACAATGAGGTGTATAAAATGTATCTTTTATGCAAAAAGCAAATTATATGCTGTGGAAATAAAACATATTCTTCAATAAAGGTAAATCCCTCATGCCTTCAATGTGTATGTATTATATATATATATTACACACATACAGTATCTCCCAGAAGTGAGTACACCCCTCACATTTTTGTAAATATTGTATTATATAATTTCATGTGACGACACAGAAGAAATGACACTTGGCTACAATGTAAAGTAGTGAGTGTACAGCTTGTATATCAGTGTACATTTGGTGTCCCCTCAAAATAACTCAACACACAGCCATTAATGTCTAAAGCACTGTAAGCAAAAGTGAGTACACCCCTAAGTGAAAATGTCCAAATTGGGCCCACTTAGCCATTTTCCCTCATTTCCACTCATTAGTGTTACAAGGTCTCAGGTGTGAATGGGGAACAGGTGTGTTAAATTTGGTGTTATAGCTCTCACTCTCTCATACTGGTCACTGGACGTCCAACATGGCACCTCATGGCAAAGAACTCTCTGAGGATCTGACAAAAAAAAGAATTGTTGCTCTACATAAAGATGGCCTAGGCTATAAGAAGATTGCCAAGACCCTGAAACTGAGCTGCAGCACGGTGGCAAAGACCATACAGGAGTTTAACAGGACAGATTAAACTGCTCCAGATTCTGTCTGCTCTAGATTTGATAAATTCCCCCCATTATATTTATTTATTTTGGTGAACATCTGTCAGTATTGTCCCATGCCAGGCTTAATTTCCTGGAGTTCATCTGCTCTTGCACATTTCTAATCAGCCCTTTGTTTTTGATTATAGTAGTCTGAAATCTGATGTGAGTATTCTGCCTTCACATACCCAACCTGTAGTCTGCCATCTCATTTTTGATATAAAGATATTACAAAGTGACCCATATACAGTAAACAATTGAAGACATGTCACCTCACCTGCACACCAAAAAATCATTTCAGGATAACCATGTGTTCATTTAATAAGAACCATGTCAAGTAAAAACAAGCGCTTTCGGGGCCACGCAGGGTCCCTTCATCAGGCTTAACATTGACCATATACAGTAAACTCCCCGTTATCCAGGATCCACGGGGATTGGTAGATTCCGGGTAGATGAATTTTCTGGTTGCTCGAGAGTTACTATTAAAAATAGGTCTAACTAATGCTATACCCCATACTATACCATACTATAGTATTTCTGGGCACTTTTCATACCATTGCTGTCCGTTCCAGACCAGACAAAAAAAAATACTGCTTGTCTCATTTTCTGGAATGCACTGGAACACATGGAAACATATACAAATGCATGCAAATGCACTGGACCGCACCTGTAAGCCTATTTTAAGCTAATAAAACCCCAAAAAACAAAGCGCCGAAATGTGGCAAAATCGCGGTAATACGCTGCAGAAAGGCAGCAAAACACAATGCACCACGTTCCAGATATGGTCCAGATCTGGTCCGGAAAATGGTGTGAATCTGGCCTAAACATGCCCTCAAAATTCCATTATAAGAGTTTCGTTATATCTGTTCAATAAATGAGAAAACAAAACACAAAAACATTTATCCTGCCTGAAATCCAGTACGCTGATAACTTTCTGTAGTGAGCGTAAAGATTTTACACTTAAAGGGTTTCTAAACCCTCAGCTTTTTTTGCATATATCTATTTCAAGCAAGCAGTAGATATATACAAAAAGTTTTAAAAAAACAACAAAAAACCCAGCTTTAACAGTGGGTTAAACTTACCTGTGTCTTCCCTGTGCGCTCCTGTCCAAAAATGTGGAAATTCTCGGGCAGCCGCAAAGGATCTTGGGGTGCATGCATGCGCAGTTCACATTTTTCGCCCGGGACGCGAGGAGGGATGCAAGGTAAGTCTATGGACGCGTGCACCCGCATGCAGACACTGTGGGACAGGAAGTGCCAGCAAGCCCAGAGGAGTCAGTGTTGGATCGGAGACCCGCCGCAGTGCTGGAGAGAAGGCTGAAAACA